TGTTGAGGTGTGATCTTTCTGTACCTAATTTATTTAGGACTTTTGTCATGAAAGGATGCTGCATTTTATCAAGTGCTTTTATTTTTTTAACTTATTTTTTGCATCTATTGAGAGATGATCACATGATTTTTATCTTTCTTTCTGGCAAGACTATATATTAATATTTATAGATTTACATGTTGAACCATGCTTGCAACCCTAAGATGAAATCAACTTGATCATGGACAACAATCTTTTTGATGTGCTATTGAATTCTAATTGATAGTACTTCATTGAGAATTTTTGCATCTGTGTTCATCACAGATACTGGTCTATAGTATTCTCTTTCTTTCCCCTTCATCCCCGACCCCTACCCTAAAGCTGACCTCATAAAATGAGTTTCCTCTCTTTCAATTCTATGGAATAGTTTGAAAAGAACTATGGCAAAATTCAGCAGTGAAGCAGTCTGATCCTGGGCTTTTCTTTGTTGAGAGACTTTTTGTTACTGATTTAATCTTATTATGTGTTATTGATCTATTCAGGTTCTATATGTGCTTATGGTTCAGTTTTTTTTTAATATTTATTTTTTAATTGTGGTTGGATACAATACCTTTATTTTATTTTATTTATATGTGGGCTGAGGATCGAACCCAGGGACTTGCATGTGCTAGGCAAGCGCTCTATTGCTGAGCCACAACCCAGCCAATGGTTCAGTTTTTTTTTTTTTAATATGTTTTTAGTTGTAGATGGACACAGTATCTTTATTTATTTATTTTTATGTGGTGCTAAGGATCAGACCCAGTACCCCACACGTGTGAGACAAGTGCTCTATCACTGAGCCACAACCTCAGCCCTATGGTTCAATTTTGATAAGTCATATGTGTCCAGAAATTTGTCCATTTCTTCTAGGTTTTTCAGATTACTAGCATATCATTTTTCATAATAATTCTTATTTCTGTGGCATGTCTTATAATTTCTCCTTTTTCATCACTAATTTTATTTGAGATTTTTTTTTCCCCTTGGCTAGTCTACTTAAAGGTTTGTCAGTTGTGTTTTGTCAATTCTGTTTATCTTTGCAGAGAATCAACTGTTTGTGTCCATTGATCTGTTTTATTGTTTTTCAGTCTCATTTCTGCTCTGATCTTTATTATTTTATTCTTCCTACCAATTTTTAGTTTGGTTTGTTTTGCTTTTCTAAATCCTTGAGATGTATCATTAGGTTGTTTATTTGAAATCTTTTGTTGTTTTTGTTTTATTGATGTAAGCACTTATTGCTATAAGCTTTTCCCTGTTAGTACTGCTTTTGCTGCATCTCATAAGTTTTGGTATGTTGTTTCCATTTTCCATTTCCTTTTTTTTAATATATATTTTTAATTTCCCTTTGATTTCCTTAGTTACTCACTGTTCATTCAAAATTGTATTGTTCATTCTCCATGCATGTGTATACTTTCTGAAATTTCTTTTGTTAAACTTTTTTATTTCATTGTGATAGAGGATGTTATTTTTTTTTTTATTATTTGTTAAGACTTATTTTGCAGCCTAACAAAATGGTCTAGAAAAAGTTCCAGGTGCTGATGAAAAGAATATGTATTCCGTAGCTTTTAGATGGACTGAAATGTTCTATTAAGTCCATTTCTTTACAGTATAATTTAATTCCAATATTTCTCCATATAGTATAGTTTAACTTTGAATTTTTTTAATCTAATTTGTTATATATGACAGCAGAATGCATTACAGTTCATATTACACATGTAGAGCACAATTTTTCATATCCCTGCTGTATACAAAGTATATTCACACCATCCATGTCTTCATACATGTACTTAGGATAATGACAGTGGAATGAGATCAACATCATTACCCTAACTTTAAATTTTTTATAGAATGATTTATTACCAAAGGGGTATTAAGACCCTAGCCCTTCATATGTTTGCTTCCCAACCAACGATGGCCTCTGCTGCCATGCACTCCCATCATGAGGTACTATACCTACACAATCCCAAAGCAAGAGAAATTATGAGTCAAAATAAATCTTTTCCATTATTGATTATCTCAGATATTTTGTCACAGTAAAAGAAAGCTGACTAGCACAAGGGGGATATCCTTAGATATGACTTGGTACTTTTCTCTTTCCGATTTTAAAATTATTTGTTTTACACTTTTTTCAGTTTGATTATAATATGGTGAAGATCTTTTTTGTTCATGTCCTATAAACTTCCTGTATATAAACGTCAGTATCTTCCCCCAAATTAGGGAATTGATTGCATTAAATCTGTATAATGCTTTTGGTAGTATGACCATTTTAACAGTATTAATTCTGTCTATCCAAGAACATGGGAGATCTTTGCATCTTCTTAGGTCTTCTTCAATTTATTTCTTTAGTGTTCTGTAGTTTTCATTGTAAAGTCTTTCACTTCTTTTATTAGATTGATTCCCAAGTATTTTTTCTTTTTGTGAGGCTGTGGTGAATGGGATAGTTTTCCTAATTTCTCTTTCTGCTGATTCATCATTTTCCCCTACCCATCTTACTGAGAAGCTGCCTATCTGCTTTCTTGTTTTCATGCCATGGAACAGCCAGGAAAGTAACCTTCACTATTCCACCAACTTCTATCAGTCTCTTTTAAATTCTTTACCAGGCATTTTATCCATTTTAATTTCTTGAGCTCTATTTCTAGAGAGTTAGGTTCTTTGAAATATGTCACATTACTCTGTTTTTTTCCTATTACTTATGCTCCTATGTTGATATTTGTGTGTACAGTAGATTAGACATCTCAAAGCATTTTGTGGGGTAGCCTTCTTAGTTAAGGGCTTTCTTTGGAACATATGTATTGGTTTATCTGTCACACAGTGTCATCTTTGATTTTGTCTGGGCACCATAGCATAGTGTCCCTATAACTTACTCGACTGTGATTAATGACATTGGGCACAACATGTACTGCAGCAGAGTCAGAGAGACCCATTGTCTCTTTGGCCATGCAAGTGGGGATACTCTGGCAGTTCAGGCAGGTATGCAGACAGAGGTGGATGTGGGGTGCTGTGTGTCTATTCCTACAGTGGGAATGGCTTCTATCAGACAATGGAGGTTTCTTCAGGCACTACTGATACTGGGTTTGCTGCTAGCAAGGGCCTCTGGCACTGGTGGCCCCAGCAGTTGTGAGGGGCCTAAAGCACTTGTCCTCCAACAAATAGGTACAGGTCCAGATGCTGCCTCTCAGTGGTGGGAACTACAGTGCCCCCTCTGTGGCACTTAGACCCAGACCTTACAACAGTGCATGGATAGATAAGGTGTGGTGACAGGGCAGTGGCAAGAATTACATAGGAGGGGTGGTGGCAGTAGTATGGTGTTCTACTCTGCCACTCTGGTGACAGCACCTACCAGGGAGCAGAACCGTGGATGGAGCTGGGCAAAATTCCTCTCAGGCGCCCTTTTCGCCATGTGTGCCTTGGCAGTAGGGCAACAGCATGCCCCTGTGGGCAGGGTAGAAGTGGAAATCATAAGATTCCCTTCCCATCCTGTCAGTAACAGGCATCTAAGTGTTATACAGTAGGGAGCAGCAGCAGGAACAAAGTAGACACCAACTCCACATGCAGCTAACTCCACCCTTAGTCTCAGAGGGCAAGTACCTTGATCTGCTTCTCAAAAGTGGCACCCTGCATTGTCTGCATTACAACATCCATCCTCTATTTATAGTACAGAGCATCCAGCAGACTTAGGTCCCAGTCACTCTGTTAAGGCACACTGGATTCACAAGGCAGTACTGCCTTCTCCCTCAGCCCCAAACAGTGCACCAAGGATGGTAATGTACAGAGGTTTCTAACCCCTACAGCAGTTCAGACTCAAGACATAGTTCACTTAATCAATATGGCTCCTGCCTACAGCATTCTGTGACATCACTGGGAAATGAGGTGAGATCCTTTTCCGAAGCAAGGCTACTAGGCAGATTTCAGGTTATTTATCTAAGTGGGCTGCCAACCTATGATGATTGTAAACTTTCCAGTACATAAGATTGCCAGCATCCACAATGAAACAGTCTGCTGGAAGTTCCTTGTATACTCTTATCCCTGCAAAAGAGACTCCCCCTCTCCCAGCTGTGAAGATACCAGGGTATTTCATTTCTCTTAGTCTGTGGTTTTCTCAGATCTCTCAATCTTCCAGTCTCTTGCCAATTTCTAGTGTTCTGCCATGGTCACTCACCTCATAATGCAGCTATGCACCTGTTACTTTGGTTCTTTGTGGAGGAAGGGATGAGAACTGGTATATCAAACAATTTTGAATCTCATGTATTGCTTGCTTTTTTAAAAAAAAATCTTGATTATTGATCATATAGCAATGAAAATTAATTCAAAGATTCTATTACATACAGTCAATCTTTAGGGGTATTTATCAGAAATGGTTAGATAAAAAAGTATATTGTTCCATATGAAGTTGATATTAAATACCTTGTGGGACCTAATCCATTTTATGTTTAAAAGTTAAAATATGGGCTGGGATTGTGGCTTGGTGGCAGAGCGCTTGCCTCACAAGTATGAGGCACTGGGTTTGATCCTCAAAACCACATGAAAATAAATAAATAAAAGTATTGTGTCCATCTACATCTAAAAGAATATTTTTTTAAAAAAAGTTAAAATATTCAGGTTTCATCCAAAAGGTAATCTTGTTCATTATTTATTGTCCTTTTTCCAGGTGGTATAATCCAGTATAAACTGTTTTTAAAATCCTACTCAACTCTAAACTCTTCTCCACAACCTGCCTTCCCCAAATGGATGGAATCCATTTTCTTTCCTAAACAGAATTTTAACATTTTTTGCTAAATTATGAAGAGCAGGAGGACATTAGTAGATTCAAACTTTTAGACTTCTTTCTGTACTTAATAATGTTTGATCTTTTCTCTCTGTGTGAATGTTATTAAATCAGAGTAACCTCGTTATCCTCTCAAAATCCTCCTTGTTATGTTGAAGATGGGAGTCCCTTCATACCTCTCATTTCATACATATACATTTAGTATTTTTGGTTGTTTCAGATTGACCCCAATTCTTGGCATTCAGAAGCATTCTCCAAAAAATGTGGTGTTTACACAGTTCATAGCCACCCTGCTTGAAGAATTACAATTAAAGAATGAAGACCTTGAAAGTTTAACCATCATATTTAGAACTAGCTGTTAACCAGAGTGGTGAGTTTTATTTTGCTTTTTTTTTTTCCATTTATTGCCTATGTGGATTCTTTTTATATTGGAAAAATTTTTTTATGGTGTTGGAGATTACATCCAAGGCCTCACACATGCTAGGCAAGTGCTCTACCACTGAGCCACACCTCTAACCCCATTTTGGAAATTTTAAAAACCAAGTACAGGCCTCAAGATGCTTGCTGAAGGACATAGTATGTCTTAGTTTTCAGCTGCATCAGTCACTTCTATCTACTTTTCTTACCTTATGCCCCAAACTATTGCCGTTTCTATTTTATAGGCCATAGAAGTTCTGTTTCATTCCAGGAAACTCCACTATCAACTACTAAAGCCCAGGCCATCCCACATGTCCCATCTGATAAGTTCCTTCCCAGGAAGTATCAATTTACTTCAACCAGCTACTGCAGTGATCCACTGTGAACATCCTCATCCTGCTACCCCTTTGAATGAAATCACTCCCTACCCAGCCAGTAACTTGGTCATCTCATGTACAGATAAGCAATTGAATTTACATGTCTGGCTTTGATGAATCTTAATCCTGCTCCCAGATAGATAGCTCTTTCCTTTCCTAAGTCCCTGCCTCTTTCAGAATTGCTCATCAGAATGTCCCCTAACTCTTCATACCCTTCTTATTTCTCATGCTTCCAAGTGCTCAGATAAATCTAGATTTAATTTAATTGAAAGAATTCATACTAAATTACAAGTGAAACCCTCTCAGGAAGTGATTTTAATACATAGAAAGAATATTTGAGAGAGGTATCTTATCAGGTAAAAAAGAACAGAGGCTGGGGTGCAACTCAGTGGTAAAGTATTCAAGTGTTTGCTTAGGATGCATAAAACCCTGGGTTTGATCACCAACACTTTAAAAAAGGGGGAGGGGGAATAGGGAAGACCAGCATCCCTTCATTGAACTTGCTAGAAAACAGAATATAAGGAAATAGCATTGTAACTGCCTCCAGTGGCCTTTTCAAGTAATCCTGCTACCCTGAAGACCCTAAAGCAAAAGCTTTTATTTAGGGAGTAAGCTCAGATTGGTTTATATAAGTTTATAGCATTCAAAGGCCTTTAAAGAATGATGAGGTGGGGCTGGGGATGTGGCTCAAGCGGTAGCGCGCTCGCCTGGCATGCGTGCAGCCAGGGTTCGATCCTCAGCACCACATACAAACAAAGATGTTGTGTCCGCCGAAAACTAAAAAATAAAATATTAAAAAATTCTCTCTCTCTCTCTGTCTCTCTCTGTCTCTCTCTCTCTCTCTCTAAAACAAACAAACAAAAGCATACCAAAAAGTGTCGTCTTTAAAAAAAAAAAAGAATGATGAGGTTGGAATGTTTTGTTATATTGAATGCTAGTTCAGTTAATCATGGTTCATGACACCCTAGTCTATTGAAGTCCTTCTAGACTGACTTTAATTAATGGATACTAATTAAGAATTATTTTAATTAGCATATTTTAAACTTATATGTAAACAGATGGTGTTAAAGTGGTTTTTTAAGGACTTTCAACAGTGGATTTAACAGTTCCTGCGTGATCACTGTTTATTTACATTGTTCATTTGCTGAAGTAATCAAAGGTATATTTTGGCATAAACTTTGCACTATTATAAAGGATCATGAATGAATGGGGCCTTATTGCATAATTTTCCAAATGAGAAATGGAGATGCTTATAAGTAGGTGAACAGTTTTCCTTTTTTTTTTTTTTCTGTTTTCATGATTTTTATAAACCATGGTAAATTTGAGTCTAAAGATTTTAATGTTTAGGAACCTCAAGATTACTGCTAGCTAGTGTATGTGAATATGCTTTCAGTTACAAATAACTAGGGAAAGAATCTAGCTCCAACTAGCTTTTGTTAGGGTGGTGTATTATCTTTTGCTCCTTAACAAATCACTCCAAAACTTAGTGGCTCTGTTGAGCTTGGAGTCTTTGCTCTCTCATGAGGTTGCAGTTAAGCTGTCTACTGTGGCTACAATATCATGTGAAAGCCCAGATAGAAGATGATCTCCTTTCAAGCTCACTAGTGTGTATTGGCAATATTTAGTTCCTCACAGGTTGATGAACCAGGGCCTCAGTTTCTCACTGACTGTTATCCAATGACCCCACTTAATACCTTGCCTTGTGAGCTTTTGTAGCCTACCTCATAGCATGGTATGTGTCTTCCCTCACAGTAAGCAAATGAGAGGATACCCAAGATGGGAGACACAATCTTTTAGTAACTCATGCCAGAAGTGACATCCCATCACTTTTGCTATGTTCTGTTAGAAAGTAGGTCCAGCCTGAGGTCAAGATGAAAGTCTTATATAAGGATATGATTACCAGGAGGTAGCAATCTTCAAGGGCCAATTTAGAAACTACCAGAAGTTGGCAAAATTGTTCAGTAGATCCTAGTTTTATATATAGCAAACCACATGGTCCTAGTGAGAGTCTTGAAGTTCACACTGATCAAGAACATGCCTGAATTAATCCTTGTGGCCTTGGGAATGCTATGGGCTAACTCAGTAATTCTGACATGAGAGAGAGAGAAGCAGGATTTTTGAACTGATGTAGTTCAGTCAGGGGCTACCCCTGGGTTGAATACATAGCTGGATCTCTTCCACCCAAACTACTATTGCTACATAATTGCAATGTGTATTGGGAAGGCAACACAGCATCAATATACTTGTGAAATACTTGAGGTGTTTTATTCAAATTATCTTTTTTTGCTTTACAGGTATAATTCAGGAAGACAGACTAGAAGATGAACTTCTACTTACCGTATCTGGAATTCGAGTTATAGTGATGGTTGGTGGTGACTGATAATTAGCTTTGTTCTAACAACAGCATTACTTTCTCAGATTTCATCCCACCCAACCTCCCACCTCCCTGTTCCTAACTGCAGAAGATAACTTCCCCAGATACAGGAAAACATTACTGCAACAAGGCTAACCAACTCCTTGCAATCTACCTACAAGAGATAGTTGGGTTTTTTTAATTTGAAAAAAAAATAATAATAATAGGGCTGGAGTTGTGACTCAAGTGGTACAGTACTTGCCTAGCATGTGTGAGGCACTGGGTTTGATTCTTAGCACCACATATAAATAAATAAAGTCCATTGACAACTAAGAAAATATTTTTAAGAAAAAGAAAATAGAAGTCAAGGTGAAACATAAATATTAAAGAGGCCTCTAGATAATGCTAGCCATCATCATCAGTTGACAAAAAATTTTTTTGAGAAAATTACCATTTGGACCTCCCAATTAAAGAATAGCAAATAATAATTAAGTCAATATAGATACTAAGATGAAACCTTTTAGAAATCTCGTCATTCTGCATGCAGTGGAACATGCCCATAATTCCAGTGATCAGGAGACTTGAGACAAGAGGATCACAAGTTCAGGGCCAACCTCAACTCAGCAAGACTCTCAGCAACTTAGTGAGACCCTATCTCAAAATTTAAAAATTAAAAGGACTGGGATGTAGCTCAGTGATAAAGTTTTGATCCCTGGGTTCACCATACACACACACACACACACACACACACACCCCAAAAAAATCTAGTCATTATTCTTTTTTAAAAGTTAACTCTACTGTAAAATGGTCCTGACCAATTGGTTAACCTCTCAAGTCTAAATCAGGAGAATCCCAGCTCTGGAATTTAGATTGCTTTTCAAAATATCAAGGATGCAAGTTAGCTAGGCCTCGACGGCAGTTGGGTAAAAGACTCAGAAAGTTTGGGGAGCTTTTCTAAAAGGCCAAGAAAAAAGATAATAATCATATCTATACTCTTGGATACTGGAGAAAATGACAGCTACTAAAGCCAAACAATGGAAGGGCACCAATAAACACCTTAGATGAATAGGGCCAGGAGATAGAGATGAATTCTTTTCCTGGCTCTACCAATAAGCTCTATAGCCAAGTCACATAAACTTTCTAGATTTCTGTTCTTTGTGAAATAAGACCATAGGCCATACAGACTCTATTGAAAAGACTGCAAAAACTAAAACTCTGCACACAGATATAGGCTGCTGCTACCCTGTCATTGGTCTTGGGCACCTTTTTTTTTTTTTTTTAATGTTTCCCCCTTTCAAGTTGTAATTTCTAATTATTTTTTTAATATTTTTTTAGTTGCAGATGGACACAATACCTTTATTTTATTTGCATATTTTTAGGTGGTGCAGGGGATCAAACCCAGTGCCTCATGCCTGCTAGGCAAGCACTCCACCACTGAGCCACAACTCCAGCCCCTCTTGGGCACCTTTTTTTAAAATCTCCTCTGACTGGATGAGGACCTAACCACAACATAAAATTACAGTGTACTAGAACTAATCAAGTTCAGATTCACAGATTACAAGATCAATATACAAAAAACAGTTGTTTTGTACCAGCAATGAAAAATCCAAAAATGAAAACAAATTCCATTCACATCCAAAGCAATTAAAGAAATGTGAAGATTGAATAATGAAAACAAAAGTATTTCATGTTCATGAATTTGAAGATCCAGTATTGTTAACAGATTCTCCCCAAATTAATATACAAATTCAATGCAGTCCCTATGAAAACCACAGCAGTATGATATTTCAGTATATTGATAGGTACTGATCAAATTAGGGTAATAAGCATTACCATATTCTTATCATTACTTCTGTGGAGTCTAAGAACTCCTCTCTTCTAGTTAGTCACAAAATATATATTATTGTGAACTATGGTCACCCAACTATCCTACCGAATATTAGAACTTACTCTGTCTAGTGCTCCTTATCCAACCTCCTGCTATCCTCCATCACCTGCATCCTTCCAGCTGCTAGTAATGACTCTTTAACTTTTTTTGTATATGTGGTTCTGGGGTTTGAACCTAGGACTTCATGCATGGCATGCAAGTACACTACCACTGTACCACACTCCACTGTACCATACCTCTGACCCAAGATTAACATTTTTAAACACTCAAATATGCGTGGGAACATGCAGTACTTGCTTTCTGGTATCTGACTTATTTCACCTAACATTAAATGGCCTCCAGTTCCATCCACTTTGCTGCAAACGATAGGATATCATTCCTTTTAATGGATGAATAATATGCCACTACGTACATTTTCTTTATCCAGTCATGTTGAATATATTAGTTATTATGAATAGTGCAACAATAAACATGGGCATGCAGGTGTCTCTTTGATATGCTGATTTCATATTCTTTGGCTTTAGCTCAGGAGTGGGATAGCTGAATCAAGTGGTAGTTCTTAATTTTTTAAAGAAACTCCAAATGATTCTCCATATGACTGAACTATTTCACGTTACCACCAGCAGTGTATAAGAGTCCCTTTTCTCCTCAGCCTCACCAGCGCTTGTTTTGTTTAGTTTGCAGCTCTGAAAATAGGCCTTGTGCATGCTAAGCAAGCACTCTACCACTGAACTATTCTATTGGGGTGAAATGTTAGCTCATTGTGATTGGGTTTTTTTTTTAATTGTAGATGGACACAAATGCCTTTATTTATTTATTTATTTCTATGTGGTGCTGAGTATCGAACCTGAAACCTCACACGTGCTAAGCAAGTGCTCTGCCACTTCCCAGCCTGCTCATTGTGATTTTGTTTGCATTTACCTGACTGCTAACTGGGATAATAATTTTTTTTTTAATATTTAAGGAACTAGGCATGGTGGTGCATGCTTGTAAAAGGCTAACGCCAGCCTGTGCAACTTAGCAAACCCTTGTCTCAAAATGGAGATAAAGTGGTGGAGTGTTTGCCTGGTATGCATGAGGCCCTGGGTTCAATCTCTGGTACCAACAAAAAAGGAGGGGGTGGTAATTACTATGATTTGATCTTTGCACGCTGTATGTATATATCAGAGTTTCATTCTGCACTCTATAAATTTATATAATTAAAAGAATAAGACTAAAAAGTAACAAAGCAAGTAAACATGCAGTTACTGATTTGGGAGAAAAAAAAAGTCACAGCAGGCTTTTTTGGAAAATGAACAAGCTAATTTCAAAATTTATATGGAAATGCAAAGGATCCAAATCAATAATCAAAACAATTCTGAAAATGAACATTTCCTGATTTCAAAACTTACTAGAAAGTTATTCTAACCAAGATAGTGTATATTGATATAAAGATAGCAGGACAGATTAGTGAAACAAGTAAGTCTAGGAATAAACCCTCACATTTATTGTTAACTGATTTTCAACAAATGTGCCAAGACAATTCAATGAGAAAAGAAGATCTTTTCAGCAAATAGCACTTGGGCATTTGGATATCAGAGAGAGAGAGACCGACCTACCAACCGACCGAGATCCACAGCACCGTATACAAAAATAAACTCAAGATGGACCAGAGGGGCTGGGGTTGTGGCTCAGTGGTAGAGTATTTGCCTCACACTGGGTTCAATCCTCAGCACCACATATAAATAAAATAAATAAATGTATTATGTCCATCTACAACTAAAAATAGTTTTTTAAATAATGGATCAGAGACCTAAATGTAAGAGCTAAAATTAGAAAACTTTTTAACAGGAGAAAACTTATATGATTTTGGTTTATGAAAAGAATCCTTAAGACATCAAAAGCACAATTCATAAAAATATTACTAGATTGGATCAAACTTTCACACATCAAAAAACAATTGGCCAGATACATGGCACATGCCTGTAATTCCAACAACTCAGGAGGCTGAGGCAAGAGGATCACAAATTCAAGGCCAGCCTCAACAACTTAGTGAGGCCTTAAGGAACTTAGCAGAACATAGTCTCAAAAAAAAAAAAAAAAAGAACTAAGGTGTAGTTCAGTGGTAAAATACCCCTGGGTTTAACCTCTAGTACCAAAAAATTAATAATAACTGATACATGTACTTGAAGCAGGGGAATTTTATATGTGTAAACTATACCTTTATAATATACTATTTATGTGCTGGGGATGTAGCTCAGTGGTAAAGTATAAGCCTAGCATGAACAAAGCCTCTGGGTTCAATCTCCAATAGTGCAAAAATGAAATAATTCAAAAAATCATTAGATAATGACAGAGCCCCTCTCTTTCTGACCTACTAGTGACACCCACCAGAGGTAGGAGGGATAAAGGTAGTAAGAAGTATCCAACTTATTCCAAACCCTGTGCCCATAGATACCTTTTCATTTGTCTTCCACACCCTGCAGGGTCTTAGGTGAAAAGCCAGTTGTTCACTATAGAAACATCAGGAATTCAAATGATCCAATGGCCAGATATACCACTGTACCATGTCACTGCAGGGGCAGCTGCTTTGGGGAGTGTGGCAACTGCCTCTCACATACTCCTGTTAAGTTTGTTAGCCTGGGAAAACCAAGCAGAATTCAGTTCAAAGTGATGTTCTGGATCTTGGTTTTTAAATATTTTTATTAAAATCTCCTTGGAAAAATGCCTAGGTTTAAGGTTGGGGCAGGGAAAATTACAAGATAAGCTTGGAGTATCTTGTAGTACAAGAAAATTAAAAAGTATCCAAAAATATGAAAGAATAGGATCATGTCAAAGGAACATGGGAGCCAACCTGAAAGAAGTCCCAGTGGCCAATTCTGGAATGATTTTAGCAACAAAATAACAGTATGCCCAAAATATAAAATATACATGAATCCATACTGATATAAAAGACTGAATAGGGCCGGGGTTGTGGCTCAGTGGTAGTGCGCTTGCCTAGCATGTGTGAGGCACTGGGTTTGATTCTCAGCACCACATACAAATAAATAAAATAAACGTCCATCAACAATTAAAAAAAATATTTTAAAAAAAAGACTGAATAAATAAATGAGGGAAAGGAGACATATCTTTAAAGAATAACTTGAAATAATACATGTAGGGTCTTCCACACTAACCAGAAAGAGAGTCTATATGGTTTTGCTCTGGGTTCTCATCATATAGGGAAAGTTGAAGGCTGGAGTATAGTTTAATGATAGAGCACTCCCCTAGCATGCATGAGGCCCTAAGTTTGTTCCCCAGCACTACAAAAAGGAAAAGAATATCTAGAATTCTTGATGTCCTCTATATAGAAACATCAGGAATTCAAATGATCCAATG